TGAAATCGCAATTTTTCGAGAACATTGAAGCCCTACTTTGCCCTTTTTCTTCTAATTGCTTTCTGGTTGGAAACGGCGTTTTTTTCCAACTTTCCAACTTTAATAACTTTTTTGATTGACTTATATTGTACATACTCGTGAAAGGCCGGGTCAAACTTTTCATCCCATGTTTCCATCCCAAATCTTGAATTTGGGGCTTGCGAAGTTCATGTAATTTAATGGATACTCTTTCGAGCTCCTCCAAAGACGGCAAACGGCAAACCCACGCCAACGAAGCTTAATAACTCGCGTTTACAAAAAAAAAAAAAAAACCCTCCAACTCCTTCTGATTCGAAATGCACACTTCTGCCAGATATTGGGTCAATTGGGCTTTGCGGGTGATTGTCTCTTCTTAATTATCACATCACGTCCCTCGACTGGTTAGCAATTGTCAGCACAATTGTATGTAGAGCCAGTTTTTGTATGACTGTGAAAAGCTTACGGCACGAACGCGGACGTGAACATGGCAAGGGATACGCCAGACCAATCTCATTGCTCGAGAATTTACTCTCCATCCAATCAAATTCTCGAAACACGGCATAAACACGGCGCAGACACGGTCACGCCAAGGTCACGGCACTGCCAGAACAGACTAATAACAATGAATCAGCTAATTACAAATGCAATCCTAGAAAACATCACGTTCGCGGCAAGACACGCATACGGCATCATACGGCAGCAAGCTTTTCACAGCCATACCAAAACTGCTCTATCAAAGTTAACGGTTCCGGCATCCATTGCTCAAGGTGTGTTAAAACCGACTTATATGCAAGGACGACTTAATTTATGCCCTTACAAAAGGTAAGTCATAATTTTTTTTCTTTCAGGTGAATTTTTGAATTTTCAGAATTTTTCGTTTGTTCTGAACAACCCTCGTAGGAATTCGCCGCTGGAAGACTCGGGTCTCAAACAATACAAATAAAGGGTCACGCTCGACACGCTCGACAGTCCCAGATATTGAGGAATTAGTACAAGAATCAAAGATATTCTAGAGAAGGAAAATCGTGTGTTTTCATTCATAAGTAGCGACCCACGACGAGGGAGCGAAAACAAACTGTAATATCTTATTAACCTCCAGGTGTCTTACTTTTGGCTTACACAACCAAAAATTACAAAGGTGATACCTTCTTTTCAGGGATGATTCATTTTTTATTTGTGTATATTTCAGGTGTTCCATTCCCACCATCAGACCTCACGATTACAGGTTGTTACAGCCGAACTACCACCATTACATGGAAAAAGGGACAAGATAATGAYGCRCCCATCACCCACTTTGTCGTTGAACAAGAATCCACCTACTTTCCAGAGGAATGGCATGTCATTGTCAATATCACCGACCCCACAAAAACATCTTATACTCTGCAACTGACAGCTTGGGCAAACTTGACGTTTAGAATGCGAGCTATCAATAAGATTGGGCCCAGTCGAGCAAGCATGCCGACACCAAAAGGACAGTGCGTTACTAGCGTGTTCAGTAAGTTTAAATGATAGCTTTTTGCTTAGGGTGTTTCATTGAAAACATTAAAAAAATATATATAAATATAATAAATTGATAAATTAAATAAAGTTATTTAGATTAAGGTTCAATTGCAAGTTTACTTTAAACCTGAGAACTGTGGTTTTACTCCAACAGGGCCACTTATGTTTCCCAAAAACTTCAGAGGATTGCCAGGAAAAGCAAATGAGCTTGATATTGCATGGACGGTAAGAGTCGTATTCTTTAATTCTGTCAAATATGGCGTATTTACTTCTCCTTAGTGGAAGGTGTAATGCCTAACAGGGTTTCAACCCAATTCTCTACTTTCACATCCCCATAATGCCTTGCGTCTTTTGGTGGTAACCAATAAAAAAAACTGTCCCAAATTAAAAGGTTTCTTAATTGAATTCATACAATACCTGCTTTTATCTGTACAATACTGATTATCAGTTTATTCCAAGTTATGTTTGCGTGTACAGATCATCAAGAGTTTTGGTCTTACAGAAAATGTATTAACTTACGAAAAAATGTTTAAAATTTACCTTAAACGTCTCAAGCTTCTATCTTTTTCTGTTTTTTTACTTCTTCATTTTATTTTTGGATACCAAACAAGGTATTGTCAACATCGTATGATCAGCTTTCAGCAAAATAAGTGGGTTTTTACCCTCTGGTTACGCCCCAAAGACGCAAAGTATTATAGGCATGTGAAAGTAGAGAATAGACCTCTTTACCTTCGTTGTTTGTTGTGCACATTTCAGACCATGTGATCAGCCACTCTTGGGAGTTGATTCTAGTTCATGTATAAATATAAATATTTTAACATGTTCCTCATTAAAAAAACACTCTCAGGGGAATGTCATGTGATCTGAAATGGTCAATTTGCATACGAAGGTAAATTGAATTACAGTAGTACAATTTAGAAGTTAGTTTTTGAGGAGGGTGAGGAAAACCGGAGAACCTGAACCCGGAAAAGCCCTCGAAGCACTCGAGAGAACCAACAAACAACTCTACTTACATATGCAATTTATAGTATTCATGTAGTACGTGGGATGCATATATTTAAATGCATACTGGGATACTTTATTGCTGATCTTTCAGTCATATTTGGCTGTCTAGTTTCTTATTTTTAATCCCTCTACAAAATGTAACCATTGTTTTTTTGTGCTCCATTTTTGAACCTTTTTTCTGGGAAACTGACAACTATTTACTTGAAATTGCTAACTAAAGATTGATTACAAATTCTCTATCTATATAGCCCATGACCAAGCTTGAAGCCTGCAATGGCCCAGGATTGCATTACATCCTCAACTACTATAAGATTCTAGATAACGGTCAGAAAGGAAAAGAACAGAAAGCAGTTATCATGGATCCAACTGTTGATCATTACTCAATTCCCAATGCTGGCTACTACCAACTGTGGGAGTTCCAGATTACGGCAAAGAATGACGTTGGTGAAGGACCAGTCAGTGATATCGTTAAATGTTTCTCAGGTCAAGATGCACCAACATCTAAACCAGAAAATGTGAAATTGGGGAACATATCTGCTCGTTCTATTGAGTTAATATGGAATCGAGTTATCGTGACGAGGGAGAGTGTTGATGGATACAATGTAAGTTATTTTAATAGTTCATATCATACAGTATGTACTAAATATTTATGTTCTCTACAGTAAAATTACTCCAACCAAGGCCACCCAAACAAATTTTCTAATAAGCCAATCGAAAGTGGGAATCTGAACAATGGAATCGCTACAGATTGGAGAAATATCCATGAGTTTACACGGTTTAGAAGACTGCCGACACCTTTGTTGTCGAATATAAACGTGCTATCGCATAGCAACACGGTGATAACATCTAACAGTGTCAGCCTGATACATTAGTATTGTTGTCTGGAAGAAACAAACTGTTTTCAAGAAACTGTGTAATTTTATAGTTCCTTTTGCTTTTCTATCCTATTTGAAGTCATAATTTACTATTTACTGGGTTGCCTGTGGCAGCCCAGTCGTAAAATGCCTTTGTATTTTTGTATTTTGTTTTTGTCCATCTCGCGAAAAGTGCATTGTTGCGCAAGAGTACCCATATATGGGTTTGAAGGACGTGTTCATAGATTAATGAATTCATGATTAATGATTAATGATTATAAAGTCATATAATTGAGCAGTAAAAGAAGATTTCTCGGACTGTAATTAGCGGTTTACCTGTGGTAAACCGCTCATAGAAGACCTTCGTTTTTTCTGATTCTTCGATCCCCGACAAAATGGACAAATTGCGCAATAGTACCCAGAGGTCTTCAGGGCCTTATACCCAAGAGACCTTCCCGTCTATAGTCCAATCAATAAGCATGTACCACATGTCAATCACTCGTCACTATGTTGTCAAGTGATTATGAAAGGGCGGAGCTAACAGACCACGTGACAGAAATTAATTTTTACGCATGCTCTATTTCGTTGACTGCTGTATTTTGGTTAACTATTCATGCTTTGATTCAGCTATTTTAATAAAGCAGTATTTTCTGTAATCGAAGATCAGTTCTAAGCCGGATAAACGTGGTCGTGTTAAAGAACTCCGCGCCTAATAAATGGCTTCGACTTTTAAGGTAGAACCAAGTGTTTAGCCTATTACGGCCGAAAATCAAACACTGCCATTTTTAGTTTTTGACGTTTTTTCTCCTCATTCTCAGGTACGATTTTTCTGAAATTTTCAGAATCTTATCATCTAGTACTAATGCAAAAATATTTATGACGCCGCTTGAAAATTTGATTCAAAATTTGAAGCATATGAAACATCGCGCTGTGGAAATTAAACATTACCATTGAATGGATTGCCTTGAAGTTTTTACGTATCTATTCCAAGTATTTCTAATGGGCCTTACGAAAAATCAGCATCAAATCGTAAAAAACTCATCGAATAAATGTTTTTTTTACTAATTGTCGTTGTAAACCTCAAAGATGAGAGTTTTGCTAAAAATCACATCACAAGAGGCATCATAACTTTTTTTCTGCCCAAGACTTTCCATCCAAATCTATACACAGGCTGCATTAGTACTAGATGATAAGATTCTGAAAATTTCAGAGTACAATTTGGGATTTAACTCCTCTTGTCCAATTAGAATCGAGTAATTTTGTAGAGTGTATTATAAGGTGTTAAATAAGCTCCAGCATAACAGCACGTTAGGCGACCCAGTGCACGCTCCAAGAGCGTCTTGTTTTTCTATGTTTTTGGTGACATAAATCATTATATTTGTAAAGAAAACATATTACAAGCTCTTATTTATCATTTAGTTTTGCCATTCTGATCTGCGGAAGAAAATCTAAATTTAAAATGTTCCGCTAATCTATTGTCTAAATACTTAAACGCTATTGGATAATTCGTAGAAAATTATTTGTCAAGGTGGCCTTGGTTTGAGTAGTTGCACTGTAGTGAATAGTCACGCTTGTGCACTTTCAGTTGCCTAATTCCTATCCAAAATAATGGTTATAGTAATTTGTATTTCATAAAAGAAATAGAAAACGCGCACGCGTGCTAGTGTGCAGTTATAAATCATGCGCCACGCGTTGTGCTTCTCCTAACACTTCTCTCGTGTAACCCCCACGCGCTTTATAACTGCACACAGCACGTGCGCACTTTTTCTGTTTCTTCATCGGGTGGGAGATATGATTGTTTATATTTGGTGGGAAGCATTTAGGCCCCATCCACACGTATCCGGAAATTTCTTGATCCGCCCTGATGCACGCTAGTGCCTAGTCCCTTTGATGGATAGCTTTTCTTATTGAGCATGCGCAAATCGTGTGTACATCAGCGTATTCGAAAATTTGCGGATACGACCGTCCACACGTATCCGTATTCGGAGCGTATTCGAAAATTTCCACTCTAGAGACCGTTTTCGAAAATTTCCGGATACGGATACAAACATTTCCGGACACGTGTGGACACAACTCCTCGTATCCGCAAAAACAAAAATTGCGGATACAAAGATTTCCGGATACGTGTGGACGGGGCCTTAACGGTAACAAGGAAAAAACTTGACTGCAACAGGGGTGGGGGCTGTGAGGAGTGTTACAAGTCACCCCCTCCCTTATTGTATGTAACAGCATCTCCAATTAACATCAAAAACAATATATTATAATGACATGGTCCAACCCATCCACCCTCTCCATCCCTGGGGTCTTTTCTATTCATTCACCTAGCATTCCATTCATTCATTTAATAATTTTATTACATGGTTTGTCTTAAGATCTATCATTGGGATCAAAGCAAGTTAGTAGAAACTCATCGTCAAAATAGAAAGACCCCAATAGGTGCTAAAGTGTTCAAGGCCATTTCAACTCCTGAAGATATTCAGAAGCAAAACGTCACTGGACTAATCCCCTACACCAGCTATACTCTGACAATTAAAGCCTTTAACAGTGGAGGAGAGGGGCCATCAAGCGAGGAGGTCAAGTTCGATACTCTGGAAGATTGTGAGTGGCCATATAGAATTATAATTGAACTTTGTACATGTAATTGTGTGTTATGACCAGATGACAGCCAGTTTTGGTGAGGTGTTGATGAAGGGTAACCTTTGGTTGGCCAACTAGTTGTCGTCACGCCAATGTGTTGGCTGGCAATAGACGACTTGCACTAACAGGTCAAGTGACCCCACCCCCTTAAAACGACCAAATGAGTCAAAATGAGCTCCAGAAATGAAAAGAGCACCGCCTCAAATTTAGTAAGAGGGCGAAGTTTCAGCTTGAATTGTTGACTATAGAAGAAATGACATTAAATATAAAATCAAAGATTTTACAAGGATTTGTAAGGGAAAAGTGTTGGCTGGTAAGCTTTTGCCATCCAGCGCACTTTCCCATACAAATCCTTATAAAACATTCAATTTCATATCTAATGCCATTTCTCCTGATTCGCTTATTATGAGCTGAAACTCATAATAAGAAGGAGTATTAGAGCAGGTTTTAAATGATGATAGTGATTACGAAAACGAAGAAGGAAGTGAGGAAGAGATAGAACTAGAAGTAGACAGCCAGAAAAGTATTTATAGAGGAATGGGTATCTACTTTTGATGAGGGAAAAGCTCAGGTTTCGATGGTGCATTTTCCCGAGCGAATGCGGTGCACGTACTTCTTCTTGTGGTTCGAGAGTCTTTTAAAGATCAAAGTAGAGAAAAAGACCCGTTACAGGAAGGTATGAAAACTATCTAAAGCTCAGGTTAAACGTCGAACTTCACATGAGCCGAACTTAATGACATCAAAGAAGACTGCCTTGTTATCTATCCTTTCAATTTGGTTCGACTCATGTGAAGTTCAACGTTTGACCTGAGCCTAAAAATGTAACTTTTAAATAGTTTAAAATATGTTTATAAAATTAATATTTGAGTTTATAGAACACTATTATAGTCCCGGGGGGGGGAGACTCTCTTGGAAAGTGGGTTGGGGGCTCGTCGGACCTTTTAGCGTCGAAAATGAGACCTCGCGTACCTTATAGGGTCTCCGGCTGACTCCCGGCTGACTCCGTACCTTTAAGGGTCTCAGGCTGACTCCGTACCTTTAAGGGTCTCAGGCTGACTCCGTACCTTTAAGGGTCAGATTTCTTCGTTTTTAAAAATATCAAACGACATACGAGAATATAATGGTTGGACTATGAGGGACTACCTTTTATGAGTGACATCATTTATTGAGACAACAGAATATTTGTAACAATCATTGTTTATTGCTGGAATGATCATATGCATAGGATCAGTTATAGCTCTCATATGCATCTCAAATATAATATACCCCAGTAATAATTGTTTGATATATTGGAGCAGTATATTTTACAGCAGTAGATTAAAGAACGTGTTGGGAACCACAGGAAGTTTATGAAGAACAGATTTGGTGAAAGCGAATTTGCCATTAACTACGACAAAGCTTGTTTACACCAGGACGCACAAGACAGAAAAAATAGGCATGATTACCTCAAGACGTTCAGGGATGAAAATAAAAGGGTAAATGTTTAATTTTCTAGCTATTAAATACCTTCAAATGTAACAAGTTCTTTATAAAACTATTTTGAAATAGAAGGCTGCAGCGATGGAGGTTGGGGGTTTCAAAAGTCCATTACTGCCAGTTTTCAATCAGTTCTAGGGGAGTCATTCCATGTCGGATGATATAGCAAAAGAACTCATTGAAAAGTCCTTTGTTAAATTCATCCAAGATGGCAGCAATGATGTCATGTGCAAATAAAGAATAGGGGTGGAAAGGGAAGGGGAAGGGGAAGGGAAGCCCCTGCTACCTTATGCTCAAACTGTATCTCTTGGTTTCCCTTCTTCTCTTCTAGTACTACAACCTGTCAAATACAGTATTCCATTATCAGGAATCCCTAGCATGAGCCCAATGCTGTTCATTTTAAGGAAAATCTATATAAAAAAGGGGAAAGACAGCTGGTGGAAATTTAGAGAATATATTGCATTTGGTCATTTACAAAAATAATGCTCCTGGTCGACCCTTATTTTTGAGTGCATCTAATCAGATTTAACTACCTCAGTTTTTTCCTTCTCAAAAACAGCTGATGGAAATCCGAGCAGAGCAACTTAGAAAGGAAAGGCAAGCAACACACCAACTCGAACGCCAACTTTTAACTCTCAGTCCCATCAACTGGAATAAGACACTGAATTAGTGTTGCTGATGAAGCTGATCACAGCTTACACCTGACTATACCATCAATCATGGCCTTGACTAAGTTCACTGGGAAACAGAAAATGACAAAACTAACTCATGTTGCTTTATTAAGTGTGCAACCACATTAGAGGCTACTAGAAGTGGTGAGATTATAACAGAAAGGTTGTTTTATAAAACTCATTATAAAATAACTGTTATGAATGTCGCGTTCTGATTGGTTTGGAGCGCGTGCTTTATGAGAGCACATTGCACGCGCGCGCACTTTCCGTTGCGTCATTCCTACCTATTATTGTAAATCGTATCTTATAAAAAAAAAAAAAAACTTGCTTGCTGTGCTGTGTGCAATCATAAAGCACTTGGGGGTTGGCAGAACACTCAAGAAGTGTCAAGAAGCACTCCGCTACGCGTCGTGCTTCTCCTAACACTTCTCTCGTGTTCTACCAACCCCCGCGTGCTTTATGACAGCACACAGCACGCGCGAGCGTTTTCTATTTCTTCAATTTCGAATTCCTAAAGTCAAATCATGTAGTGGAACAGTGTGAATTGTCTTTTATTTAAACAAAGAAACTTGATTATATATATATGTACAAATTGGAAGAAAAACTTTGAAATAGCAAACTGGATGTATGTTTTAAATCATAACTATCTGGCTGTGACAAAATTTATAATGAAAGTCATAAAATACATTATTTACAGAGTTTTTAAATGATACACGGAACACAACTTTCGTCAAAAAAAATTTTTTTTTTGAAACTATGCTAAATCAAATATAAAAGTAAAATCTTTAATTTTATATAAAAATTAAAATAATATACTTTACGCTCATTGGCGTACTGTGCAGAAACTTGTCAACATTGAGTAAATAAACTTATAATCCCATTAAACTAAACTTGTGTTTTTCTCAAAAGTAGTTTTTGGTAAAATACACATTTTCAGAAGGTTTATTCTCCCTCGGTTTTTGATCAATTACCGTGAAACTCGGCATGTGGATTCCTACTATGCTCGAGTTTAAAATTGTGTCTGCGTTTTTTCATTTTCTTTTTCTTTTGTCAGATATTTGCCATTTTCTCAAGAATGCCCTTAAAAACATGTAGTTATAACTTTGGAATTGAATAAAAGATTAAAGAAGCGCTAAAAGAAAAAACGCAGACACACTTTGGTAGAACAACATACGTGTAATAAGATGCAAAAAAAAATTGATCTGTTTACCCTAACCAAAGGAGAACAAACATCTCGCGTCGAACCATAGTGTTTGCAATCAATGCCCGATTTATCCAAAATGAATTATTTTTTTCCAAAAGTAAAATCGAATATGCAATATTTGAACTTTAAGCTGTTAGGAAATGTATACTTTATGGGGAAATTTATATAAACTAAACGTGCTATGAGCGTTCAAAAAACCCGACCCGATTGTGTTCCGTGTATCCTTAAGGAGCTATTAATGCCCACTTGTGATATAATGTGTGATACTTTTTGTTAATAAAATATATGTAATATATAACTTCAAAACATCAATATTTGTTATTTTCTGTTCTCATATATTTTATATTCCTAATATACACATCTCAGTGGGTAGTACGATAACAACAATGCACTACAGTATAATAATCCACAGTTCCCTGCATCATCAGAACAGCATTAAACTTGCAATGAAAGATACCCTTCTATAACCTTTTAATTATTCACATGTCTCTATCACTGCAAGGTCACTGCTGTCCTTCCTTCAATGCACAGGCATGGCTACCTTTCAAGATGGTGCAGGGAACCGAGAAGGGGACTGTTGTTTGAAACATGTAGTGATGAAATCTTGAGATCAATTTTGTTCACCAAATGATTCTTCAGTAGAATTCTGTTCCACTTCAACTGGCATATCATCCTAAAAATGGGGGGAAAGCAGCAATAAGAAAAAAATGCTTCCAGGTCACACTGAATTAGACACGTTTGTTGACTTGAATGTYAGGGAATTATGAAAACATCAATGAATGAATGATTCTTTTCTACATTGCAATAAATACAATCATATGAAATCGCCTGGTAATACAATGCAGTAGACACCAGTAGGATTGGTCGAGTTTTAACTTAACAACTCTTTAAGTTCAGAACCAGAACCAAGTTAAGAACCAGCCCACTTAAGACAAAAATTAGATTGAAGTCCAAATGGTGGCTATGTGGCCTTGTGACAGTAAGGTGTATTAGGCCCATACAATTTACTCAGCTGACCTAAATATAGGTTAGAATTTGCAAGAACCCAATTTTCCATTTACCTCTTCTGCAGTTTGCTTTAAAAAGGCTCTGACCATCTTAATGGATTTAGTAGTCATCCCTTTGAACTGGAATCTTTTCTTTTCACTATCGTCACCTGATTTGAATTCATGCCAACAAGTTTTGCATTAGTAAAGGCTTCGACTCACAAAGTGTAATGTGTAGTTCCAGAAATCATCCATACCCACCCCACAGAGGAATTTGGAATTTCCAAAGAGTAGGGGGATCAGAGAAAGAACAAAAATTACAGAGTTTGTATGGAAGAAAATTGGAATCTTCCGGGGGGTAGGGGGGTGTCATAAAAAAATTCCTCCATGAGGGGGTATGGATAATTTTTGGAACTACACAATATATTAGGGATATATATATATATATATATTTATATAGATGTGTATGGTAAAGTATTCAAATTTCAACCATTGACTGTAAAATCAGTGAACTGGAATCACATGATTATGCCAAAAATTTTAACCAATCAAATTAATGATTGATTTGTGACTTTCCAGAGCCTTGGATTTTTAGTTAGAAAGCTGAGAAGGCTTTGGATACGAGAATGCCCTTTAATGGTATGCAGGCATCTCAAGTATAAGAATAATTTATGTTTCTTACCTTGCACTTCCTCAAAGAAGACATTTGTTCCAATAGCATCTAAAAAGTTAGATACAATGGTAAATGAAATCAAGAGACATTAAACCAAAGCAACACTCAAAGGGTTGATAATAAAAACAAATTGAAGTCTTAGTTTTTTCTGCTCAGATATCCTAAAAATTTGTGGAGAGAGTGGTATTTGCTATAACTGAACATGGTCCAGTATATACAGTGTATATCTTGGTTGCTAATGACATCACTATGCACGCATACAAGACAAAAATTTGTAGAGGAAATATAAATGGGAAAAAAATAAGTTATTTACCATCCTAAATTCAGTCCGGACAGGAAAAAACTGTGCCCTCATCCTTGAAAACAGTCTGGATATTCAAAAGTGTCCTCGGGTACAGTTTTTTATATCCATGCCTTCTGGCTGGTAAATAACCCCCTATTAATATTTTACTCTTGCCTTCATGTTCTCCAACAAATGTGTAGGGTCCAATCTGTAGTACTGGTTCACTTGTGTTGATTCCCTAAAAGTACAAGAATAACAAGCTCATCAGTATGTAACACAATTGCTATTATAGAAATGTAGGTCAATTAAGACATTTATAGTACACTCAACAAAATTACTTGACTCTGATTGGTCGAGAGGAGTACAATTATAGCGTTAATTGTACTCCGGAGTACCGAATTAAGTCGCTATGGMAACACGGCCAAAACAATGTCAAAACAATTATTTTCTATCATTTCGTACTTAAAAAAACATAAATAAAATTATAATGCCGTAAGAAGTAATCTTTTTTATGCATTTCAGTTGCGCGATGGACTGAAAATCGGCCGCCAAATAGACAAAGATGAACGGCGTCGCTTCGCATTTTTTACTGAAATTTTGTTGAGTGAACTATAAACAACAATTTCCTATACTAATTTCCATGACGTTTCTAAGATGTTGTTTAATGACAATTACCCCATGCATGTTGTTTAAGGTGAGTTATTCATTTTATATGTTGCTATAGACAGGAGAGGAGACTATGCTAGTGGAAATAAACTTGGAGGCTCTTATACACACCAGGAGTCTGCAATGTTCAGTTGTTGCCTCGTGTAACACCTCTGTTTCCAGGATACCACATAATTCGACTAGAACTAGCTGTTCCTGACAAAAAATAAGTTTCAGCATATTATTAAATAAAAAGCTCCAGTTTTGACTTTCAAAGTTTGAACTCATAATCTCAAATAGTCTCTAACCTCTTCCCATTCCTCATTATCTTCCATTTGTTAAAGAAAAGACCAAAAATATAATAATTAATGGAACATTGTACTTTTATCCAAAATTTCCGCCATATTGGAACTCACGGTAGAATAAACTGGACCCCAATAGGAAATGACGTCATTGGATATCAGGCCCCAAACGTTTTGTAACAAGAGAAAGCGGAAGTGGGTCAAACACTGTTCAAAGTGTTTCAGTTCACTTCAACCACAAGCAATTCACCTGTAATCTTGGTATTATTTTACCTTCTTTGTTCGTAAATCAAGCACTTTTGGACGAAGCCATGTATCGAGCACACGTAAGTCAAGTTTCTTTCTTATTTTGGGTCGATTTTAGAACAAAAATTCCATGAATTTTCATGTTTGATCTTAAATTTACGTATTGACTCAGAATTCTAAAAGTTTCTCAGAAATTCTATAAATTTTGCAGGCTGGTTGATACGCAAAACTAAAACTAAAACCTTTTGTAAGTAAAGTAGGTCGTAAGGATGATGAAATCCTACGGTAGCTGTGTCCGCGAAAAAAAACAAAGTGCTATAAAAGCTTTTACTCGCCTTGATTAAATTAGATTCCAAGGTCTCCAAGTTTAATACTTGTTTTGTAAATAAATATTTATTTATTTACAACTTATTTTTCAAAAACATAGCTTTTTTCTTTTAGAAAACAGTTTAATAATTAATATAGTGTTTTACTCAGTTTTATAGAAAGAATTATCGTAAAGTTTTAAGTTCAATCACCTATACAAACATATGTATTGCACCTGTGTTTGCTATGTTTATGAGAGCCAGTTAGAAAAACAATTTTTTTATTTATTCTTGTCATATATTGAACCATTAATTTATATGATCTTCCTGTCCAAAGTTAAAACTTTCTGTTTGTCAATTTTTTTTGTCTGATATGCTGTTTTTTCGGTTGCTAGCTATCTGTTATCCATCTGTATCTATCTGCTGTCTGTCTATCTGCCTGTCTGTCTATCTGCCTGTCTGTCTATCTGCCTGTCTGTCTATCGGTCTGTGTGTGTCTGGCTTCCTAGCTGTCTATCTATCTATCTATCTACCTGCCTGTCTGTCTGTCTGCTTATCTGTCCATCTATCTGCCTGTCCCTCTGTCTGTCTGTTTGGCTCATCTGCCTGTCTGCATACCTCTCTGTCTGCCTGTTTCCCTGTCTGAGAAGATGCATGGCTAGTGGACCTCATAATATGTTAATCAACCTATTCATGCAAGTCCACATCATTTCAATAACTGTTTCATTATTGCTCATACATGATCCGCTATTTTTTGTTTAGCACCCCAATGATCCAGGAATGCATATCAACAGTGATTCAGACAGCCATACCAGATTAACCTACAAGGATAATCCAGGCTTTTTAGACAGATTACAAAGCAGCTGTGGTGCTACAGTCTTTGGTATTTTATTGGTTATCTTTGCATTTCCTGTTTTGTACTGGAATGAGGTGAGACATACAAATAAACACCTAGGTAGACTTTATCTTAATATAAAATATGTTACTTTAGTATTCAGGTTTATAGAACCAGTAGTTTCTTAATGAACTACATGTATTATTTTCATCAAACCAGTGCCATCCATACAATGACCAATCAAATGATAGTTATAATATGATTTTAGGGTAGAGCAGTGGAAACAGCAATGGCACTTGATGAAGGGCTGAGAGCAGTCGTTTCATTACCATCAATCACTGAAATCCAAAGACAATATCAAGACAAATTGGTTCACTTGACAGGACCCTTGAAGACTGGCATGGTATGTAGGTATGAATTAAGGTATGTAGGTATGTAGGTACATAGCTATGTAGGTATGTAGGTACGTAGGTATGTAGGTATGTAGGTATGTAGGTAACTATAATGACTTGAATACTGTTATAAAAAAGAAAATACTTTTATATGGGTTTCTTATATTTATTTCATAACTATTATTATCACATACCCAGAAGCTGGTCATTACTAACAGCTTTTCAATAGGATAGGGAACCAGATTAAGTTGGTCAGTGTAACTTTAACTAGCTAGACATAGTAAATAGGTTTGTTTTTATGGGAAAGGAGGTTGGAGTAAGATTTCTCTATTGATTTTTTAATACAAATCCCAGAAAGTTTAAATACTCCAAGCTCCTGACTCCCTTCTCCTGAATGTTTTTCTTTAGGTTTTAAATGATGGAGAATATGGTGTTGCTCTTAAAGCAGTCAAACTCAAAAGAGAAGTTGAGATGTTTCAATGGGTAGAGCATCAGTCGACTAAGTATGTAGTAAATGTGGTGTGGTTCTATCCTCACTTAAAAAATGCCTGCTTGGGCTTCCTGTGGTAGAGACATTTCAAATCTAAGAAAGTACATGTTCAATTTTAGGGAGTTTGACGAAGGTGGAAAAACAAGGGTAGAGACAACCTACACGTACAGTAAGTGCTTCAGATGTGTTGATGTCTATGTAAACTGCCTATTCAATAATTAGCGTATGTCAATAGGAAAAAAGGATTGATAGGGGGAAGGACCTTGAAAAGGGGATACATAAATGAAAGACTTTTTTTTAGTGGGAGGGGGTACAGGGACTAAGCTCTTCGAAAAACCTTGAACTGCTATGTTAAACCCATTTTGTTAAACCCGGTTTCATGGCCTGCCTATGAAGTTTCTTGAATTTCAAATTATCCTAATAACTCATCCGATGACACGAAAAATATAAAGTTGATAAAACTAGCATATGAATGATATCCGCAGATCAAGAGTGGCAATCCAGTATCCAAAATAGTAATCAATTTGACGATCCATCTAGACATCGCAACCCTGCATCAATGCCTGTATCAGCATATGTCAAGGTTGCTGACTTGGTGTATGTTGGGGAATTCAAGCTTTCTAAAGGCAAGTATTTACCAGCTATTTATAAGTAATATATTAGTTCGCCTAAATAATTAGTGTTTGTATTGATGGGTGATGGGTCGCGAGCAAGAAAGTCAAATGACAAAAACGTAGCAGCCATCTTGGTGCGGTTATAACAATGGATGCTAAAAATTTATCTTTTGTTAAATGGCACCAACATGGCCGTAATGACATAACGCATGATTGAAGATGCTTGAGTTTGACAGATTTGCGCGCAGTTTCCCTGTCTCGGGTGCGCAACATATGAACCGTGAGTTTGGACCTTAAATTTTATTCTACGCTTTGTTTGACGTGTCCTGATCATAAATTTGATCAGTAGTGTTGCTTATTGTTTCAACACGTGAATAAACTCAAATGAGAAATTTATGAACATATTTTAATTTATGGTACGCTTTGCCTTACGGTTTTTGGAGAGTTAAACATTTTTGTCATCATGTTTATGCAGGTCTTGTCGACAAAATTGAGAACTATCAACGCTTTATCCCAAGAGAAGTTCCGTCTGGAAAGACCGTGGTGTTGCAGGATGGAATATTCTATCACTCTAACGATCCCTTGCATCCTAGGGTTTGTATGACTTCTTATTTGTTTCAGAAARTGATATGTAGCTATTTCAAAACGTTTGTTCTTATGCACACTGAATATTACATAGTGAATTGCGCTCGGATAGTCCTGATGAATTGTAAATTGAGTTTTGTGGAAGCCAAGCCAGGCTAAACAGAATTATTTTTCCTTTTTTAGATAATAGTTATTATTTGGTATTTTTGAATTTTCGTGCTATTCTTTGCTTAAATTGCTTTATTGATTTTCAACATTACAATGCACCAATATGCATTTATTCAGTATGTACTAAGTATTACTAATTCATCCTTTTTGAAACCCCGTGTCTAATAGATAACGTACAAAAATAGTTTATGTTTTGTATAAAAGCGAGGACGAGAAGCCAACATACTTTGATTGCCATTTTTACTGAATAGTCTATAAATTATTTTCAGGAAATATCTCGCTCAGATTCAAATCATATTTGATTCATTTTTTCGTAGGTTGGTGACGTGCGAGTTACCTTTTCTTACGCTGGTTTAAGCGGCAAGCCAGGCTCAAATCTCGGTGAACCACAAACAGTAAGTACCAAGTCTATATTAAATGAGATGTGCAATTACTGATGGCATAGTATCTTTGTTTGTAGGTCAGTATTGTAGCCCGACAGTATGGATCGCAGCTTACCCATTATCATACAAGTTCAGGACATTCATTGGAGCTTCTTTATATTGGAGAGATGAGCGCCAAGGTGCGTAATCTATACAGTGTGCTGCGTTTAGCGTTCGTACCGTGCCGTGCCTTGCCTTGCACGCGCCATGTCACACGTAACGAAATCTTTTTTGTTTCAACTTTTAACAAAGAAATGATGACGAAAATGTATTTGAACAGTGCTGCATGTGCTAGCACTCTTAAAAGTGAAACGACCTTTATCATCGTCACTCACATTAACTGGAAAAACGTATGACATACAGTATTCGAACAATTTACACCATATAAGCTTCATATCACTGTAAATCTTTGTACAACTTTTAGTCTTAAATTTGATATTTTTTCTAGGAAATCTTTGAGGCTGAGCACGCCGCTAATACAGCGATGACTTGGATCTTGCGTGGAGTTGGTTGGCTGATGTTGTTCTTTGGTTTTCTGTTGTCCACAAGTATTCTCAGCACTTTAGGTAACAGCCTAAGAAGATAATGTTATCTTGCGCAGCATCTGGATCATTATTTCATTTTCTATTTTACTTGCCGTTTAACAGTCATGCGAAACAACATTAAAAATAATAAGACTCTGGGATTGAGAAGGGCGGCAGACTTTGAAATAATCTAGAGTTGAGAGTGTGTGCGGTATGCAAAAGCGCATCCCTTGAACCAAGTCAGTATAGGTTGTTCAGAGGGGTTCAACTCACCGCAAAGAATATTAGACGGGAACGTTTGCAGGAAATGGAACGTTTCGATTGGCAGAAATTGTCACGCAATAGTTGAGCAGCGACCCAATCTCCTAGTATAGCAGCTAAACTTTTAAGTGCACCCAAAGTATCAAGCCTGTGGCCTTGATTGGCCCTACTCAAGAGAGCATAAATAAGAGAGGGAATCTTCTTAATAACGCGCGCGCCATGTAAATTCCCGGTTGGGCTATTTTTAGTAACCAGATGCAGTTTAAATATCGCCTTACCCTCATCAACTTGCGCGCGCGCTCTTTCCGTTCCGCTTTCGGTGATCAAAACGATAAACGGAAAGAGCGCCCGCGCGAAAGTTGTTTACGCACGGGAGTGCGGTAAGACGTAATCTAAACTGCATCCGGTTACTAAAAATAGCCCAACGTTATTAAGAAGTTTCCCACTCTTATCGCTTTCCTGCACTACTCTCATATTCTAATGTCGCGCATGTAGACAAATCTCTTGACCTCGCTTATTTTTTTCATTTTTTCCCTTCCAGTTTCTTGGTTACCCATCGTGCGTGAACTGGTCGGTCTTGGCATCACTCTCATTTGCTTTTGCTTAGCCTCGTCATTATCTTTGGTTACCATAGCGATAGGATGGATCTCCCATAGGCCTTTGCTGGGTATCGCTCTTCTGGCAGCAGCCGCTGTCCCGATGTTACTGTCCAGACTTAACAAAAACAAGAAGAAGGAATCGAAGAGCTTTGAATGAACGACTGCCTTAGTATTTAAATGTTTAAGGTTTCATAGATAAATATAGATAAGATTTGTTTTAGTTTTTATTTGCAGTGTTTATTAGCACTATAATGGGAAGTCACCATCACTGTAAGAACGGATAGCTAGAACGAGAATGCATATCAATGCAAGTTTTTAGTTTTCGTTATTTTTTTCTTAGCAAACTCAAAACAAACTTCAAGTCCTGTTAGCGACCAAAAGCTTTTTGTCGCTTTTTCACAAAAGAATATCTCCACAGTGAACTTTTAGATAATTCTTGTTAAGTAAAAGCGCTTACGTTAAAAAAGGTTCATTAATTCTACCGCCAACACTGATGAATAGAGAAAAAAGATAAAGCGCTTTTTAAAAGTTTTTGCGACCTGGGCAATTCTAGACAATACTCTTTATTAAAGTCAATCCAGTTTACAATGATATTTTGATTGGCAGAGGTCAAAAGCCTAACCTCTTCTAGAAGTTGTGGACCCTAGCAACAGTTTTAATCTTCAGAATGTATATGAAAAGACGTATTTTAAGAGATGTAACTAATACAGACTGTACTAAGACGGTAGGATAATACATATGATAATAGCTATGTGGAATGAGGGTAATAATCTGTGATGTGTTAAAAAAATATAAATAGATTAAAATAAAAATAGACGSTCATAAGCACATATGGCTACTGCAAGGTTAGTGAGTTAAATGAATGTAAATTTGTTGAGGAGCATGACTAGTAAAGATTATAGTATACCTTCCTTAATTTATTTTTGAACAGCTTATCTCTGACCTGATTAAAAATTTTAAAGCATTAAAATGCTACAAGAAGATGGAAAGAGCGTAAAAACTGATTATGAATGAGTCAGTGGATCTTCAGCTTTTCGCGCTAACAGTTTCCATAGCAGATGAACTTTGAAATACACTATTAGACCGTTTTCTCAAGATTGCGTGCGCATCCAATTTGACGGGCCACAAAACCAAAAAACGCAAATTCAGCGTGGAGAAGACAGTTTTATATTTAAAGAGAAGGATAATCGATTTGATAACAAATCTAATAGAAGTGTGTGATAATTCTCATTTAAAAGCTTCTGTTCTGGTATCGTGGTGTATGATATATGTGCGGGGCTCCTGTGGTTTTGTAAACGAAGAAAGCCTGGCACTAGCCTTGCTGCTATGGTTTCTTGTTTAACCACAAGGAGACAAAACATGCCTTTCGTTCAAAGATGGACGAATATTTATCCAGGTTTATCAAAGATTGAGATCAACACACACGGTATACACTACTAATAAATGATGTCTAAGTCACCTGGTGGAGCAAACTCCATAAAATCCGCGTCAATAGTGGAAAACGAGCCACAAAATCAAAATGAAAGGTAAAGTTTACATCGAACATTAGTCCCACTCTCGAACTCGACGATTAATTAAATTTTAGAATATCAGAAGACATGCTCTTTTACTTAAAGCTCTAAAGATTCTTGCTTTTTTAATTTCTTATCAGTTTGAGCCTTGGTTTTGGGTTTGAAAGTAATACAAATGTTTTCGAGCAATTATAGGATTGTGGGTTCAAACTGAAAATGGCCAACCAACTAGGTTTAGTGAAGTCTTCCAGTAGTTCGTGTAAACGCCGTAACGAAGCATTTATTCCCCTTTACTATACTGTTCAAAGAAGAAGTATAATGCTGTTTTTATTTTTTTAATGTTGAATTGTTCCATAGGCCCTTCTGTTTTCCTAAATTATAGATCTAACCCTTGCCACTGTCTTTATAATTCATTATTCCAGGAAGTCTAGAAGTATATAGCATGCTCCATCTAAAAGTCAATAGTAATATCAATGTTTTTTTTTTCATTTTCTCCATTTTTTAAAATTCTTTAGGTATAATTTTAACATTTTTCTAGATTTTTATTAAAATTATATTGAGATTTCATGTTGGTGCTGTAAAATCATTTCTTGGCATCAACTGATATTTAACAGTGTAATTAATCGTGTTAATATGGTACTAACAATATTCTATTTCTCACAGGAAGTCTGACCCTAAAGTTACAACCTTTGGGCTCAAACTCGTTAATCGTCTTACAATGCATGATTTGAAAGCAATACAAGATGCATTCACAGTGAGTGTTTGTATAATAAACCTTTTACCAAACATATTGTGTATATATATGTAGCTCCAGAAATTATCCACCCCCCTCCCCCACAGAGGAGTTTGAAATTTCTGAGGGGTGGGGGGTCAGAGAAAGCAAAAAAATTACAGAATTTGTATGGAAGAAAATAATTTGAATTTCAGGGGGTAGGGTAGGTCTTTTTCAAAAAAATCCTCGGCGGGGGAAGGGAGTATGGATAATTTCTGGAATAATTACACATTTGCTTGAATAACCCTCATGACATACTGATTCAAGTCTAGGGAGCTTGGGAGCCATGTTGCGTGGTACAGGTACAGTATCTATACATCAACTTGAAGCCATTGTTTCATGGTAAACTTGGAAAAGCTCCCTTGTGTTGTTTATAATCCAGACATCCATTAACTCACCTGCCCTGCTTCTTCCTCCCACACTGCTAGAGCCTCCTGACTCACTCCCTCTCCAACTCAAATATGCCATCTAAAAAGCTTTGGTTAGAATTCCTCACTTGGACTGTAGCTCCCAACACTCCCAACCCCACTCCCCTAGAATATTCCTTACCTGTACCCTAGCTGCTGCATATGTATAATTATTGCCTGTCAGGTATAAACAAGGACAAAAAGAGTTGCCTGGTGCTTGAAGATTCCTTGAATAAATTTCAAATTTCATTATTTTTTAATAGATAAACCAATCAGGCCAGGAGAGGGATTTAAGCCTTGATTTGGACCAGTTCTGTGAGATTTTATCTATAGTGTTAAATAAAGGTGTACGAGAAGAATATGAAGAGCTTTTTAGCAAGATTGATGTTGCAAAGGAAGGGTTTGTTGACTGGGACAAATTTTCCAGTCATATGCTTCTTGAATATTATGAAAAAGATGACAGAATGAAAACTACGCAGGTACATGTAAACAGCAAGCTGTGTTCTTTTTTCTTTTCCATTTCTCACATTTTCTCATCATTTTTTATGTTTATATTTCTCATTTCCCCCCATATTTTTCCTCAAGCTGTCAGCATTTCATAATCTACTTTCCTCATCATCTTCCAAATATTTACATCCATATTGGTTAAGTTTTTAATATTCTGTATAATTTATTGAGCATTCAGTTCATTTATTTTTTATTAAAAAAAACTCAGGTACCTCAATGGAGAGAGTTGCGTAATATTTCATGTCCACACAAAGAAATTATAAGAAGAATTTGTCCTTTGAGCAACCCATCTAGATATCTGTCAGTTAGCAAGGTACAGTATGAACTGTTTGGGAAAAAAGTGAAGAAATAGAAAATGCAAGCACATGCTGTGGGCATTTATAAAGCATGCGGGAATTGGCAGAACACAAGGGAAGTGTTAGGAGAAGCACAACACGTAATGGAGTGCTTCTCGACACTTCTCGAGGGTGGTGTATGTCAACCATACCTTTTTTTTTCTTTTTTCCATTTTTATTCTTAGTTTCTTTTCTTCTATTCTCATATTTTATTATATATTTTTTGCAGGAAGGGGTAGTCTGTCTTTGGTCACTCAGTATGAAGCCAATCAGAACTTTACAGGTATGCATTTATAATTCTCTTTTTGAGTGCTAGCCGTCGCATGCTATAGAACATGTTGGATTGTGTTATGGTCATGAAGACATTCGGACATTATTCTTGGATTTTCAGTATGATTCTACTGATAACTGAAACACAAAGCAACACGTTTTGGGCTAGCACTCAAAAGGTGAATTGGATGGGCGTTTCATTGTGCATAGTAAATTTGAACACTTTATATACTGTACTTAATATACTATTATGTTTATTAGGTCCATACTGACCATGATGAAGTAAAACAGAGAGACCTCTGGGTCACAGACTTTGTGCCAATGCAGAATATTTACAAGCTGGCTCTCTCTTTGACAAGCAAAGAAATTGGTATGAAACATATTATGCTTGACATTGTATGACATGCTAGCACTTTTTCCCTTTCTGGTCAGGTTTTTTTTACAGTCATCGTAAATCAATACTTTGTATATTGTTTCAGCGATATATGACCTGAGCTCCAAATCAGAATTTAATTGTCAGTTTAGGATTAAAAACCTTGATGACACACCTTTGTGTCTGGATTACTGGTGAGTTTACAAAAGTCTCATGATTACTGTATCATTGTCATCATCATCATTATCACTGTCATCATTATCATTCAATAACATTTGTTGTGTTGTCATGATTAATATTTTCCCAATGCATCATCATCATCTCCATCATCGCTATCATCATTATCATCTGTTGTGATAGTAATCATCATTGTCATCACAATGCTTCATCATCATAATTCTCACTCATCAGTAACAACATTATATAGTTTGAGTTTACTGCATCATCATCATTGTCATCATCACCACCACCATCACCATTATATTGTTTCTTCTTTCTCCAATAGCTTCATTACCATCTACTCTACTAATTGTACCAGCAATATTGGTGTTAATATATGTCATAGAAATAATAAATTGTTTATTCTGGAAACTATAGGAATAATCCTGATAAACCTAATGAAGCCATCCTTGTGTATGGAGATGTCTCTGGTCAAGTGATAGCAGTCCTGTTTTCTGCTGTTAATATTGCTTTGTTCGACAGACCTGCACAGCCAGCAGGCAGTAAACAAGGTAAAACTTCTTTCTTTCACAATGATRCACCCTCTTCTTAGCCCTTAATATCAATTACAGGCAGATCCATGATGTTAGACTTAGCGTAAAGAACATGATTGGCTTGCACAAAATGGTTTCCATGGAACCACCTCTGGATTGGCTACAGAATTATGACTACTCTCTACCAACAATCCCCTTCGCRTGGAGTGATCATATAGTTCAGCTCGCGGGGATGTTGTTAACATGTCCACGCTTGGTTTTTACGGGCAGTCACTGCAGTGACTAACTCAAGTGCGTGTAGTGCTCACAGCAACTCAACGCGTGCAGTCAAAGCATACCAGTTAACTTTGCCACACAATCACTGATTGCTTTCTTATTTCGCCAGTTATGAATAACAAGAAATAGCAAAGACACATGCGAAACGTTGCAACTGCCACATCAGACGTTGCATTGATGATTTCTTTTTTGCTCCACAGATATCTATCTTACTGTAGACATTAATGATGTTGCAAAAGGCAACTACAGAAACGCGAGAATAGTTAAACATCATGGTCATACAGAATGGACAAGACAAAGTATGTACTGTACTAACAAAACATTTATCAATGCATTCATCATCCTACCTGTACTCTTTGTTCTAATGGTTGTTCTTTTTATTCCAGTTATGTATTCAGCTCACTTGGACTGCTTTATGTCATGTGCGACAAATTATAAAAATTCTTTAGTTCTTGGCTGGGTAGAGAAGTCAAAAATGCATATGAGAACGTAAGTTTTAACTGTATTTCACCCATATTGAGAATTATACGGCCAACTTAGCGTTAGACATTTTAATTAATGCCTACTACCAATCAAAATTAATATTTATTCTGACCATTTATTTGAGTCACTTCATAAGTTAAAAATATTATGTTGAGTTAATATTGGGTCATGTATAAACTACTTTATGAAAATATTATGATAATTTTTTACTTTCGTTTATTAATTTTCCAATAAATTATTTCCCCCTTTTCCACCAGAACTGCGTTCAAGATTCCTCAAGGGGTCAATGCATTTGATTATAATGAGAAGATGAATCTCATAGGTAAGCTGTCATTATAAGTACATTCTCACACACAGTTTATGCACAACTCTTAACTTCAATGACAGCCCTATTCTTTTTACTTGTTTCCATAGCAACGGCTGGTGTCAATCACCATGTGTGTTTATGGAACCCTTATGTAATTTCTAAACCTGTTGGGGTAAGTTTGGGGATATTCTTAATATTTATTGAATCGTCCTTCAAAGTTGGAGTTGAGAAAGGTCACTCCATATATGGAATCATATAATTCCATATTTGGATTGCGGTTCTTTACCCTGAGGTCAAAGAAGGCAGACAAGTGTGTTCGTCGGCTGGCGAAACGGCTGAGAGACATTTACGAGCTTGGCGAAGACGAAAAACAAGAAAAAACTACAAAAAATATGAAAAAAACAAGCTTCTCCCCAGTCCCTTTTTAAAGACCGGGAAAGAGAGCCTTGACACTTATTGGTTGATATGACTCTACTGTTAAGAATCATTAATAATATTKTTTTGTCAGGGTTGAATAGCCTGATCCAAATATACAGGTACATAGTTGGGAGAACACTGCAGAAGCTGAAATTGCACTCTGCTTGATGTCATGGTTCTCCATTGTGCGCATTTGGGTCCAGGTTATTCAACACAGAAAGATGTTAAACAAAGGGATTTTCATTTTAAAACCTTTTTTTTTTTGTTATCCCAGGTCCTGCGAGGTCACATGCAGAGCATTGTAGCTGTCAAGTTCATACAGTCACGTGGTCAGCTTATTAGTTTATCTAAAGATAAAGTAAGTACTCTATGATAATATTATCAGAATTAAGGATTACAAGGATCAACCTAATGTCCTTTTATTCATAAATGTTTGTTACAGGTCTTGCGTATTTGGGACACACACCTTCAAGTATGTCTACAACGATTATCAGGAATGTTCCCTAAAGGACCTGCTGAAGGTTAGTGTCTGCAACGAATAATGTCTGCTATATAAAATAACAGTATAAACTTTTTGCACTCTTCATTGCAGAAGTAGACCCATATTCTGTTTGTCTGCAACAAATGTACCAAATAAAATGATAGTATAAACAAGTTTGTTGCGCTCTACATTGCAGAAGTAGACCCATATTCTATTTGTCTGCAACAAATGTACCTTATAAAATGATAGTATAAACAAGTTTGTTGCACTCTACATTGCAGAAGTAGACCCATAATCTATTTGTC